CATGCATGCATACATACATACATACATACATACATACATACATACATACATACATACATACAGTGGTGCCTTGCATAACGAGGTGAATCCGAAAATGTCGCCCACCGCCGACATTTTCCCCCAGCTGAGCAGCGGGGCTCCTGCTCAGCTCGGGGAAAATGCCCCCTCAAAAGCGGAATTCCTGCGGTTGCCTCGGAAGGATCCTTTGAAAGGGTCCTTCGGAGGTCACCGCAGGCATTTTCCCCCAGCTGAGCGGGAGCTCCCGCCGCTCAGCTGGGGGAAAATGGGGCCTATGGGGAAAAATCGCAAAGCGATTTTTCCCCATAGGCAACATCGCAATGCGATCACAAAATCTGTGAGGATTCGTCGTTAAATGGGGCGCTCGTTATACGAGGCACCACTGTATTTATTATAAATAAAGTATCAGAAGATTAAGGATAAAAGAAATGTAACCCTGGAAATGTGAAATATGATTATAACATTGAGGTTTAAACAACAGTGAACTGCTTGATAGAGGTTACATCATGAGGTACAAGATTTGTGATTTGTGAAATAGATTAATTTTTAACTGCAGTTTTATGGCACTTTTCTCCTGGTAATGGGACTCAAGTTGTCTCACAGATGATTAAAACAAACAGAAAATAAAAACAAGACATAGGAACCATTAACAAGTTATTAAACATGGAAATATTAAAATCATAATCTAAAAACTTTAAAATGTATAAAAGCATTAAAATATTTTAAAAATAATATAATGGCAACAAGCATAGGATATTTAACTATTACATAATAATTACATAATAAAAACCTATCTGAATAAAAATGGTTTTAATTGCCACCAGAAGGAGAGGACAAGGGGCCACATTAGTCTCAATTCCATTATCTGAGGCCAGCCATAAAAACAGTAATTAAAAGGGATCATGCTTTCAAGGTGCTACGCATTAAAGCTATTCCCTATGTGTTGTTACTATCTTAATTGCTTAGTAAAGACTAGTAATGGTTGTTCTGGGTTTTTCGGGCTCTTTGGCTGTGTTCTGAAGGTTGTTCTTCCTGACGTTTATTGTTGTGCTAAGGGGAAGAGATTATCTGTTCCTGTGGTTGATGGGTGTCATTAGCTGGTCTTTTGTGTGTAGTGATCCCCTGTCCTTGTGGGTGGGTAGAGTTCGTTGACCTTTTGCACGTAGTATGTTTGATAGCTGGGAGCCAAGTTTTGTTGAGCTTCATACTTTCCTCTTTTTTGTTGAAACTGTGCTTGTGCTTGTGGATTTCAATGGCTTCCCTGTGCAGTCTGACGTAATGATTGCTGGTATTGTCCAGTATTTCAGTATTTTGAAATAGAATTTCATGTCCAGTTTGTTTCAGGGCATGTTCAGCTACTGCAGATTTTTCTGGTTGCTTTAGTCTGCAGTGTCTCTCATGTTTTTTGATTCTGGTGTGGATGCTTCGTTTTGTGGTTCCAATATATACCTGGCCACAACTGCAAGGTATTCGGTATACTCCTGCGGTGGTGAGGGGGGCCCTTCTGTCCTTTGCTGACCATAACATTTGTTGTATTTTTGTGGTGGGCTTGAATACTGTTTGTAGGTTGTGTTTTTTCTAGTAAATTCAATTCTGTTAATTTATTTTTCAGAGTACAGTAGGGCTGTAGTATCCAGAAGGGATTAGTTCCAAGCCCCCCTCCAGAAGACATTGGAAAATGCAGAAACAGCAAATGCAATACATAGCATGGTCTCTGGTCAGTTCTGGCAAATAGAGCAAGGACATACATAACAATACGTTTTTCTGTGTTTCTGTATTTAATGTTTTCAGGCAGTGGATAAGTGAATCCATGGATACTGACCCTGCAGATGGGAGGGGTCCCACTGGACTGCCTACTCTCCCCTGTTATCACTAAATAAATACTTTTTGACACAAAGTGTCGAAAGGGAGCTCTTCTATACAAGACCTGATGTCGTTTGTGATGCCCGCTGAATGAAGCCAGGCATGCCGTCTAAGCGTGGCTGCAGTAGTCCTAGCCTTGGAGGCGGCATCTGCGGTGTGACGATGATTTATTGCGAGCTCTGGATTGATTTGATTCCACAATGATCGAACTGAGTATTGGATGCTTTGCAAGAAAATATGTATCTGAACTATGCGTTTCATAATGGTTCTCCACTCGTCTGGTTATTTGAAGGGAGGACGGTGGTTTATCCCAAGACTGCTTTAGAAAATCAAGCATAGCTGGTATGAAAGCCAGAATGACTGTTGGAATTTTATCCTGGTTGATGCCATTGAATACTAGGTCCTGTTTTGGATGTGGAGGCTTTTTAACCTCAAGCTCTAGAGATTTGTCCATGTGGAGTATAAGTTGGGAATAGGATGTAAAGTCTTCAGAAGGTGAAGGAGGGTGATTATCCACCACATCAGAATTGGGTGTAGGCAAGTTGGAGGGTGACTCCTGAGAAATTTCCAGGGGGGTGGTGGTGGTTGTGAAGAGTGTGACCGTTGTCGAGGTCTAGATGCCAAGGTCTTGGATGAGGTAACCAGAAAAATCAAGAACCCTCTGTTGGTGTCAGGCGGTGGAGTGGGGCGTCATTTATAGGTGGTAGTGACCTGAAGGGATGAAGTACGCAGGTAAGAGTGAGAAATAGAAACCGGTACAGAAGATGTACAGAAGCGTTTGGAGGCAGATTGCTCTGTTGAAAACGAAGTACACTTGAGAGGTGATTTGGCCCTCTCTATTTGTTGGAGCCACTGATGATTTATTGCAAGCTCTGGACTGATTTGATTCCACAATGATCGAGCTGCGTATTGGATGCTTTGCAAGAAAAGACGTATCTGAACCATGCATTTTATAATGCTTCTCCAACTCGTATAGGATATTTGATGGGAGGACCGATACGGAGAAAACTCAGAGTTGGAAAACTGAACCATAACTGCCCACCCTGAATGTGCACGGCTAGAATGGGCTGAGGTCGGGCTGGAGAGGACATCAGCTACTGAGGGGCCAAGACTAGGCGAGAGGCTCACCAAAGAAACAGGAGCCTGGCCAGGAGGTAGCGGGAGTGGATCTTCCACCTCTGACAAAGAATTGGGAGCCTCTCTGGAAGACTCTTCCAGAATCGGTGAAGAGAGGTCAGCTTGAGGTTGAATAAGTTGAGTAGGCTTCGATGATTTATTAGCCTTTTTTGATCCACCCATGTCCTTTTTCTTCTTAGGCAACTGTGTCGAGGAGGCCTTCGATGCTGGTGGTGACTTTGACTTCGAGGAGGATTTAGACTACTCCCTTGATTTAGGAGATGGAGTGGTCGGGCTCGACACAGCTTAGGGACGTCCTGTCTAGGGACAGGAGGTGAGGTAGGTTCCATCGAGGCGGTGGGTGGACTAAGGGATTTCTCCCAGAGAAATGAACGGAGACCTTGGAGACGGAGCTTAAGGGCCAGTTTGGTGAGTTTTTTACACTCCAGTCATGAATGAGTTTGATGTTGCTCCCCCAGACAAAAAAGACAGCAGTCGTGGCCGTCTGAAAGCAGGATCTTGTTCGTGCACAACACGCACTGCTTAAAAGGGGCTGGGGGGGGCGTAAAAAGAGTGAAAGATAGGGAAGGGGGGAAATGGGGGTGGGGAAATGAAGGTAAGAAGAAAGCAAAGGGAAACCATGGGGAGAAATTGTTTTAGAACAAAAAGAACTCATGGGGAAATGTCAAAGAAAGAGGTGAAAAAGCCTGAGAAAGCGCAATGAAAAATAACGATTACCATCAAAAGTTGCCCTTGTCGTCGAGACAGGTCTGACCTAAGCAGCAGTTAAAAGGAACTAAAGGGAGTTCAGGCAGGCAGAGCATGCACGCCACAGGGGAACGTCCTACTAATCACATGTCTTTATGCTCTAGAAAATTCCAAAAGGTCCTGCGCAGGCACAGAAGAATCCATTCGTGTGCATTCACAGAGACCACAAAGAAGAAAGAAGTTTGTATTGACAGATCTGTATCAATTTAAAATTTTGTACCTGTTGTTAGCCCAAACCCACTTTCTACTGGCTCTTCATTCAGTGCATGTAACTGGCAAACTCCACTCTCTTCAGATTCCACATGCATAGGCTTAGTTAAAAGATATTTTCTGAAAAAGATGGAGAATTATCCAGTGACTATTTACCGTGGTCACATATATTTATTTATTCCATGTATATCCCTTCTTTCTTCTAAAAAGCTCAGGGTGCTGGACACCATTTCCCCAACCTGCACGTCACCCTCCAAAGAATCCTGTGAGGCAAGTTAGGATGAAAGATAATACAGTAACTGGCTCAAGATCACCTAGTGAGCTTCCTCGCTCAGTAGGGACTGGAACCCTTGATAAACACCATTGCACCAACTGTCCATTCTATTTCCTGCATGCCTTGCCCTTCTCTCATACCTAGTGTATCGGACGCCTATATCCAAAATATTTGCCAGCTCTTAACTATGATGGCTTGATGTTTTACCTTCTAAAAGAAATCTAGAAGTTTCACACTGTTGCCAAGAATCTATCAGGTCCTCAAAAGAGCTACAGTAATTTGTGTTCCTTCTCTAATTAACCCCAGGTCCTATTTCCCAATTGAGAGAATAGCATGACATTACCCAGAATCGCATCTCCACACAGAAAATTAGGTAAAATAGGATGATTATATGATTGCTCATTCGCTGCACTTTTGAGTGTCATTTTTTCTTATCAGAACTCAGTGAGGCACAGACACACACAAAAAGTGACTTCTGGTCCAGAAAATGGTCTCAAAATACACAGTATATCACAGAAGTGAACACACCCCCTCATATTTCATAAATATTTTAGTATATCTTTTCATGTGACAACCTTGAAGAAATGACACTTGTTTACAATGTACAGCAGTGAGTATAGAGCTTGTATAACAGTGTACATGTACTGTCCCCTCAAAATAACACAACACACAGCCATCAATGTCTAAACCACTGGCAACAGAAGTGAGTACACCCCTAAGTGACAATGTTCAAATTGGGCACAAAGTATCAATATTTTGTGTTGCCACCATTATTTTAAGCCTCTTGGGCATAGAGTTCACCAGAGCTTCACAGGTTGCCACTGGAGTTCTCTTCCACTCCTCCATGACGACATCACAGAGCTGGTGGATGTTAAAGACCTTGCGCACCTCCATCTTCTGTTTCAGGATGCCCCACAGCTGCTCAATAGGGTTTAGGTCCGGAGACATGCTTGACCAGACCATCACCTTTACCCTCAGCTTCTTTAGCAAGGCAGTGGTCATTTTGGAGGTGTCATTTTGGGGTCATTATCAACAGCCCAGTATCCAAAGGGAGAGGATCGTGCTCTGCTACAGTATGTCAACAGTACATGTTGGCATTCATGGTTCCCTCAATGAACTGTAGCTCCCCAGTGCCAGCAGCACTCATGCAGCCCCAGACTATGACTCTCCCACAACCACGCTTGACTGTAGGCACAACACACTTATCTTTGTACTCTTTGCCTGGTTGCCACCACACATGCTTGACACCATCTGAACCAAATAAGTTTATCTTGGTCTCACCGGACCACAGGACATGGTTCTAGAAATTCATGGCCTTAGTCTGCTTGTCGGCAGCAAACCGTATGCGGGCTTTCTTGTGCATCATCTTTAGAAGAGGCTTCTTTCTGGAATGACAGCCCTAGAGACCAATTTGATGCAGTGTGCGGCGTATGGTCTGAGCATTGACAGGTTGACCCCCACCCCTTCAACCTCTGCAGCAATTCTGGCAGCACTCATACGTCTATTCCCCCAAACCAACCTGTGAAAATGTGATGCTGAGCACAGGCACTCTGCTTCTTGGGTCGAACCACGGCAAAGCCTGTTCTGAGTGGAACCTGTCCTGTTAAACCACTGTATGGTCTTGGCCACTGTGCTGCAGCTCAGTTTCAGGGTTTTGGCAATCTGCTTATAGCCCAGGCCATCTTTATGTAGAGCAACAATTCATTTTTTCTGATCCTCAGATAGTTCATTACCATGAAGTGCCATGTGGAACTTCCAGTGACCAGTCTGAGAGAGTGAGAGTGATAACAGCTGCTCCCCCTTCACACCTGAGACTTGTGACACTAATGGGTCTCATGACACCAGGAATGGAAAATGGCTACTTGGGCCCAATTTGCACATTGTCACATAGGGTTGTA